AATTTATGTCAGTTCTGGTTGTTATTCTGTTTCTAAATTGTTGTTGTCCCTATCTTGGTTGTGCGAGGAGGCACAGTGCGTCCACCTATGCGTCCATCTTGGCCGGAAGTCCCTTCCAGTTTTCTTTATAATCTGGTAACCATTCAAACTTTAAGAGAATTTTTAGGGGCAACACCAAACACAAACATGGGAGTAGGATACTACCTGATTCATCTAGGAATTTAGTTCTATAGAGTTTTCTTTTTCTTTTGAACTCCAAAAATTATACCAAGATATAGCTAGTTAAAATCTCTCTTCATAAATTCTGCTTATCACAGAAGGAAACCATACGATTACTAAGTCTTCTACAGCTCTAGGAAGCTGTTTTATTTTTGGTTCCGTATCATTTCTGTATTTTTCTGGGAGTCATGTTTTACATTTATTTTCTATACAATTTTCCTTTCCCATGACTGTCACTATTGTGTGTGTGGGGGGGGGGTGGCGGTCACCATTTGTATTCTTTCTCTGAGAATTTTTTTAAAAATCTATGGAATTTGAAGATGATAGCTTACTTTTTAACCTTGTTCCTCATCTTCCACATATCATTATCTCACAGCTTTTAAAATGTATTTATTGGTATTTAGAGAGTGAGGAAGGAGGGGGAAAGAGAGAAACCATTATATGATTGGTTGGCTCCCATATGAGCCCTGACCAGCGATCAAACCTGCAACTTGGGTATGTACTCTGACGGGGAATCAAACCCACAACATTTTGGTGTACAAGTCAGCACTCCAACCAACTGAGCCACTGGGCTAGGGCCACAGTTTTTCCTTCTTTTTTTTTTTTTTAAGTTTTTTTAAAGTCATTATTCACTTTACTCAGCACTAGATAATTGGCTTTCATTGCTGAGCTCTGTTAATTTCCATGCTGTTAATCCTTATCTTCATTGAGAAGTCTTAGTTTTCTGTTTATCTGTTACTAATCTAACTCTTTTTACACATCAGGTAACTGGTTTATTTTTTAACTGAGACATTCCTCTAGCCCTCTGCTTTTCTGCCCTGGCTGAGACTGTTACATAACTGTCATTTTAGAATTTCTCTTCACTGTCATTGTATGGATTCCCTCAGCATCATCCCATTGATTCCCTTTACTTGTCTCCTTTCAATTTCTTGTGTCTCTTTTCTTTATTTTTGTATACCTTGACTGTTGGATCTCTTGCCTTCCTCTTTCTTAGTTTATTCCCTCATTATCCTGAAGCACATCTTCCAAAAACAACCAAGGGAAGTATGTAAGAGAAGTAAATAGAAAGTATATTTTGTGGTTCTTCGCATTGTCTGAAAATGTTTTCATTTCACCCTCATGTTTGATTAATAATTTGTCTGGAGATGTAATTTCAGGTTGAAAAACTCACTGTCAAAATATTGATGACATTGCCCCATGGATTTCTAAAATCTTCTAACATCTGGTGTTTTTGAGAATTCCAAAACACATTTAAGTTTTTAATTCTTTTATGTGACCTGTTTAATTCCTTTGAGTGGAAACTTTTAGAGTTCTTTAGTTATGATGTTCTAACATTTCATGTTGAGATAACATAATGTTGATTGATTACATTCTTTCATTTGGCTGAGAACACACTGAGAAATTTTATTCTGGAAACTTTAAATAATTGAAATTTTCTTTATCATTTGTTACCCGTCATTTTTCTCTGTTCTGTATGTTTTACACTTTGTTTACTTTTTATATCCAGTGCCTGGTACCATGTCTGACACACAGGAAGGGCTCATTAAATTTTTGAATGATTGAAAACTGGTCATTGAAATCTTAAATTTCTTGTCCTAGCCCTAGAATTTTTTTTCTTTTCCATCTCTCTTTTTATGTTGTATTTCTGTGGGATTTTATTAACTTCTAATCCTTGAATTAATTTTTACAAAGAACCTTTTTCTTCTTTGAATATTTCTTTTTCTGACATTTTCTTGTGGGATTGTTATATGTTTTTTTTTAGAAACATTCTTCTTTTGAATTTTAAAATTTTTTCTCTATTGTCTCTCTTTCCTGAGTTCTTTTTTCTTCTTTGTTTATTTTAATCTCTTATTATGTTTAAAAATTTCCTGAAGTAGCTAGTGACTCAAGACTGTCTGCATATAAAACACTGGCATTAAAAAGCTGACTAGAGCTTGTTGGTGTCTAAGAAGGTGTAGATTTATTGGTATTGATCTGCCTAGAACACTTTATTGGCTGAGAATAGCTACCAGGTCTTTTCTTTGGGTCTGGCTTTCTCCAGAATGAAATCCTCTACTCTTTTTCTGGGAATTAATAAAAATAAGATTGGCTGACAGATTCTGGGAGTTTACTGGATATAGTAGGTAGGGGAATCAGCCTGCTGTCTGAGGTAGGTTTGAGAATCTGTGGTCGGTCTGTTTCATTCAGATTTCAATTAATCTTCCTGTTTGCAGCCCCTCATGCACCCTACTTTGCAAATGTACCTCATAATTTCAGTTCTTGAGAATATTTGGGAATCCACAATAGGAACAATCTGCAACTTTGGTGTTTTAGGGTTTTTTAATGGTTGATACATCATTAGTTACTTTGTATATTACATATACTCTGTTTCTTCTAAAATCGTTTTGCTGTTCTTTCCTCTCCCATTCTCTTTGTCCTAATAGAGTTTCTTCTTTCATTTAATATCATTACTATCACTTAGAAGGAGTAGTAACAAATGCATATGTATATTCAGTGTGCCATGTTTGAAAAGAGTACGTCCTTTTTCTCTACAAGAATATTTTCGACACTTTATCATTAAAGAACATACATGCTGAGTCAGTCAATAAATATTTGTTGGGTTTCCAATATGTGGGAGATACTGTGCTCAGTATTGAATACACATTGATGAAGACATCAGACATTTTTCTTGCTTTCACAAAACTTAAGATCTATTGAGAGAAAAGGATATTAAATGAACTTTAAAAATATGTAATTACAATTTGTGAAAACCCTGTTAAGGAGTAGAATAGGGTGTTAAAAAGGTAATTACAAGGAGGGTGTAATTTGGTAATGGGATCAGAGAAGACTTCCAAAACTATGTTCTTTCTGTAGAGATTTGGAAAATGGGTAATAGTGATCAAGGCCAACAGTGAAAGAAAACATCTTCTAAATAAAAAGAACAGTACCTGGAAAGGCCTTAATAGGGAAGAAGAGCTGGGAGTATTAGAAGAACTACAAAATAGGAACAGTGTGGATGGAGCTCAGAAACCAAAAGGGACCAGAGTATGAGATTTGGTTGAAGAGTCAGGCAAGAACCAGATCATTCAGAGCTTTGGAGACCATGTTCAGGAGCTTAGCTTTTATTGTAAGAGCAAAACCATGGAAATTCATTGAAAAATTAAAAGCAGAGCAGTGGCAGGCAATGCCATTCTAGTGATGTGGGTTCGATTGTAAACCTTAAGTGGGAAAACTAGGTAGGAGGCTATTCTAGTAGTCCAAGAGATAGGGATTTCATATTAGTAAGGACAGAGGGAAGAGTTTCAAGCAGTACTTCAGAGCAAGATTAGACAGTATTTGTTGAATCATTATATGAAGAGAAGAGAAAGACGATGATACTAGAATAATTTTCACTTCTTTGGCTTGAGGTTTCCCCTCTGGGTTCATAGTATGCTCTTCAAGATACTTTACTTGCCTTACATTCCCATGTTTGTAGAGAAATTCTTTCATAATGTTATCTCTCAAATACAAAGCAATATTTTATACCAAGTACTTTTCACATATTTTTCCAAGTCCTCACAATGATCATGTTAGTTGTTATTCCTATTATATAGACAGAGAATTGGGGTTCAACAAGATGAACTCATTTGCCCAAGAAAACAATGCTTGTTATTAACTGAGTTTGAGTTGAAAACTTATATAACTGGCTCTTGTAAGTCTGATATTTCAGTAGCAATACACTACCTTCCTTTACATTTTCATTTCTTTTCTTTGCCCTACAAATGCCCTTCCTGTCAGTTGGTCAGCACCACTATAGTGCTTGTGTATGTGTTAAGTTCTTCTAAGGTCAGCATCACAGAATTCTAAGGCAAATAGTATTTTCATCAAACCCCAAACATATCTAGCTAAAAAAGAATCCTCCCTGCTACCACTCATGCTAGATTAATTCAACTTTTGAGTTTTCTTAAGCTATTTGCCCATCTGGATTGCTACCCTCTATTTCTTTATCATTTGTTAAAGAGACCCTGGGTCTCTAGTTACTGAGTCTAGACAAGTACTGTCAAATAGAACTTTCTGCAATGATGGAAATGTTCTATATTTGTGATGTCCAGTATGGTACCATTAGCCACATTTAGCTATCGAACAGTGGAAATATGAATAGTGCCAACTGAATTTGAAGTTTTATTTTATTATGCTCAATTTAAACAGATAATATGCTAGTGGCTACTGTAATAGACAACACATATCTATCCAGGAGCTGGCATGCTTTTTCTTAAAGGGTCAGATTGTAAATATTTTAGGCTCACAGTCAATGTGGGCTCTGTTGCAACTATTCGCTTCGATCATGGTAGCTCAAAAATAGCCATACATAATACATAAATGAATAAGTGTGGCTGTGTTCCAATAAAACTTATAAAAATTGTTGCAGGGTTGCAGGCATAGTTTGCCAACCCCTTACAATTTTTCCTTTGACATATTAATTTATTCCTGTCAACTCTGTTAACTAGTTATGATTATTTTCTTTACACTTTATACTGTGGCATTCTCTTACATGAATGTGTATGTGTGTATTATTAGAGTTATCCTATAATGAAGAAGATAAGACTAAGTTATCTGTATATTTAGCAAATTCCCCTACATAATTCCTATTCATAGCAGTGTTTGGAAACCCGCAGCTTACTTTCTGCCCTCATCTATGTGATCTCTCCTCACTCCTCCAGTCTATTTTTTTAAAATATGATTTAATTCTTCCATTTTAATTGAAGTTTTATTTCTCCCAAGCAAGAAATATCTGAATGGTTGCTTTTATATTTTTTTTTCAGTCCTGGGATCAAGATGTGAAGCCAAGAAATTATTTCTGAAGAAGGAAATTTATGAAATAGAGTCAGCCCAGTGGGAGATAATGGGAAGACTTACAAGACATGACCTTCAGTGCTCTAGTTTCAGAGATGATTGGGAATGTAATGACCAATTTGAGAGACAACATGACTCTCAGGAGGGACATTGCAGTCAACCAATATACACCCATGAAGGCATGCCCACTTTTAATCATCATCCATCCTTTACATTACAGCAAATCATTCATAATAAAGAGAAATACTGTGCATCTAGGGAATATAGGAAAACCTTTACACATGACTCACAGCTTATTACACATCAGATAATTCATACTATTGAAAAACCCTATGAATGTAAGGAATGCGGAAAGGCCTTTAGACATCCCTCAAGACTCAGTCATCATCAGAAAATTCATACTGGCAAGAAACCCTTTGAATGTAAAGAATGTGGAAAAACCTTTATTTGTGGCTCAGACCTTACTCGACATCAGAGAATTCACACTGGTGAGAAGCCTTATGAATGTAAGGAATGTGGGAAGGCCTTTAGTAGTGGTTCAAACTTCACTAGACATCAGAGAATTCACACTGGTGAGAAGCCCTATGAATGTAAAGAATGTGGGAAAGCCTTTAGTAGTGGCTCGAACTTTACTCAACATCAGAGAATTCACACGGGGGAGAAACCCTATGAATGTAAGGAATGTGGCAATGCCTTTAGTCAGAGCTCACAACTTATTAAACATCAGAGAATTCATACAGGTGAGAGACCCTATGAATGTAAGGAATGTGAAAAGGCTTTTCGTTCTGGTTCAGACCTTACTCGACACCAGAGGATTCATACTGGTGAGAAACCCTATGAATGTAAGATATGTGGGAAAGCCTATTCTCAGAGTTCACAACTTATTAGTCATCACAGAATTCATACTGGTGAGAAACCCTGTGAATATAGGGAATGTGGGAAAACCTTTAATTATGCCTCACAAGTTATTCAGCATCAAAATTTGTACTGGTGATAAACCATAGAATATATGAAATGTGTGGGAAGGCTTTTAATTACATCTCAAAACTATTCAACATCAGAAAATTATCTTAATCATAATTATTCTGAATAATGTAGAAACATGTTATTTGTTGACTACAGCTTATTCAGTCCAAGAAAAATGTAGGAATAACACCCCAGTAGTAAAATCCATTTTGGAAGCTCTTTAATAGAATTTGTATTTCTTTTGACACCAGGTAACTGGACCTAGCAAATACTCAAAATTACACAACTTTTGGCACCTTTATAACCTTAAAAATTAGATAATTTATGCTAAATTGTAATCCTGTGATTTTTATTTTCTTTTTCCCCCTAATTTGTCTATACTTATTACATTCTTAATCATTTAATTCATCATAAATTTACATGACTCTTAAGTCCATGTGTTTATATCATGGATTGTAAAATACCTTTATTTTAAAAATACCTTTAATAACAGAAAGGTGACGTCTTTATTTTTTAAGACAACCTACTTTTTGCTCTTTAGAAAATTTAGGCTTTCTTATTCTAAAAACAGTCATGAAAAACTTTGCACTCAGTAAACAGAAATCCTTTAATGGCTTTATGGTGTGTCCTTGTATTGCCATAATACCATTTTATCAAATTCCTATTGATAGACATTGAAGTTTCCTCCAGAGTTTTTGCCATTACACACAGTACCCTGATGGACATTATTCTTTGGCATATCTTTATATCATGTCTCTTATTTTAATTGCAGAAATGATTCATGAATATAGTTTCCTTATAAAAGATTTAAACATTATAAATAAGACAAATATACCCTTTGAACATTATCCTTGTACCCATTTTCTTTCCTGAAGGATAGTTGTTATCTGTTTAGTATTTAACATTCCCTAGAATTTTTGTTTTTATATATGTGTATCTTAGTAGAAATTCTAAAATGGAGATAAGTGTAATACCTACCTCATAATTTTGTGTGAGAATCAAATATGACAAAATATTTAGAATTATACATGTCATAATAAATATCAAATGTTAGTCATTGTTATATTCACTGTTGTCATTAGTATTATTTGTTGAAAGACCTCTATTTCTTCAGGCCTTAACATCAGGCAAGATATGCAATTGAAGAATGATCCATTGAGGGTAATGAATTAAGAAAATTTTGTCAATTATTTCTCATGGAACATGAAATAATCTTGGGATTTGTTGGGGAAGGTAATGTGTGTAATGTGTGAGAAGGACCTTATTCAAACTGACATCTTTTTAACTACGTATAATGCCTGATATAAAAACAAATAAGAATATAGACAAAACATTGGTGACACTTCTGAAGAAAAAAATGAAAAGCCAAACAGCAATAGTTTTGAAAAATGGATAAACATGAGTATGGATAGAAACACATTATAGTTACTGATTTAAAATGCTGTACCTAATACTATTGTTTCTGATGTATTTGAAAACCTAAACTATTATTTTTTTAGGAAAATAAAAATGACTCAAAGGAAAGCAGAACTCTTGAAAGGCACTTACAAACAGGAAAAGAGAGATTTATATGTGAATACAGTAGCTATTGACAAAACTCCAAACCTAATTTTTTTTTTTTCAGGCAAAATGTTACCAAGTGTTCAAGGAATTTTTATAGAGTAGATATATCATAATAAACCAACAATCTTGATGTTACAGGTGCATCAGGAGAACAAAAAAGAGGAAACTATCTTTGACTATCATCCATAAAGAAGTTGTAGGCATACTAAAGAAATTAGTGAAGTGTAGGTATCAAAAGAATAGCAAAAGAAACCAAATGGGAGAGTAGTTAAAAGGATTCCCAATGGCCAGTTCCAGCTAATTGATACTGGAAAATAGGGCACCATTTGCCAGCTCTTCTGACTTCCAGAGAATGCAGAAATCTACATTTTTTTTAAAGTTTGTGATGGCTCTTGATTTCTAAATGGCTGCTCAGACCTAAAAGTAAACCATGAAGACAAAGATGTATCAACCGTAAGTAGCAAGCAGCCCATGGATAACTTTTCTTCTGGACACTAGAGCTGTGACTGCAAAAGGCTTGTAGGAGGAGTTTTTAATAGTATAAATCCCTTGGCACCAAAGAAATTTAGGGGAGAGTACCAACATAAGGTAATTACCCAGAATTTCTTGGATGTGAGCAGTTTTGGATTAAAAATAAAGTAGCTAACTTCCAAGTATATATTTTTTTCTACATTAAAAATTTATCCTAGCCCTGGCTGGTGTAGCTCAGTGGGTTGAGCGCGGGCTGTGAACCAAAGTGTCACAGTTTCGATTCCCAGTCTGGGTACATGCATGGGTTGCAGGCCATGACGCCCAGGAACCACACATTGATGTCTCTCTCTTTCTCCCTCCCCTCTCCAAGAAAACTAAATAAATAAAATCTTTTAAAAAAATTACCCTAAACATTACACCAGTTAAATAGGATATAGAGTCATGCACCACTTAGCAGCAAGGGAGTGTTCTGAGAAATGTGTTGTTAGATAGTTTTATTGATGCTCAAACATCAGAGTCTACTTACACAAACCTAAATGGCACTGTCTACTACATATCTAGGCTCTACTATATGCCACTGTGGTATATGCAGTCAGTTGACCTGAACATCATTATGTGGAGCGTGACTGTATTTTGTATCCCTCTGTTAAGCTATATATGTATACACACACAACTGGGGAAAAAAAAATAGAGCCCTGGCTGGTGCACTCAGTAAATTGAGGACCATCCTGCAAACTGGAAGATTGCTGGTTCGATTTCTAGTCAAGGCACATGCCTGGGTTGTGGGCCAGGTCCCTAATTGGGGGTGTGCGAGAGGCAACCAATCAATGTATCTCACACACAAGATGTTTCTCTCCCTTCTCCCTCCTTTCCTCTCTCTAAAAATAAATAAAAATCTTTTAAAAGTAGAGAGATAAACTCTCAAGAGAAAAAAAAAATGCCAGAGCATCACAATTTTGCACTAGCAACAAATGTATCACTGGAATTGATTATGTATTGTGTCTTAGATCAATAGTATATATTTTAGCTTTTATGGACCATACCGTTTTTGTTAAAACTACTCAACTCTGCCATTATAGTGTAGAAGCCTACTAAAAGTACTGCATTAAGAAATTCTGATATTAAAAATAAATATCCCATAGGTTAGCTTTGTTTAGATTTAAGATAATGTTTTGCAATGAACCTTTCTTTCCTGTATCTCTATTTTCATGCTCATCAAACAGCTTCCTATATTGCATGGATATCATTCTCTGGAAGGAAAATCACATACCCAAAGTTACTATTGGTCTGTCCTTTTATTCCCTGTTCCCTTTCTTCTTAGATACCATGTTAAAGGGTTTCATTTGTTTATTTTAGCATTATTTGCAGGCATATTTCATAATCAATTTGAGAAAATTCGAGAAAAAGTCTGCAAATGGGAGAATTATTAAAGACACTTTCATTCTAAAGGTTTGCATTACTATCAGAAAGTATTTCTAAATGAAATTTTATTTTCTTCACTGCTATATTTCAAGTCACTTATTAAGTTCCTCCTCCAAAATTACAGAGGTAATGCATGTGCACCCAACCCAATGAAACAACACCGATAAATTTTTAAACTTCCATCCCCTTCTTTCTTCACTCTCTTCCCCTCTGTTCATTTTCTTTGAGTAATGTTTAAATCTTGTGTATATCCCCCATATATTCTTTTGTCCTTAAACATTAACAAGTAGGTTGTTTTAGTGTATTTTTGCAAAAATAAATGATACACATTTATCTGTAATTTACTTTTTAACATTTGCACATTTTGAATTTTTCTTCAAGGCAATAGATAATTTTGATGGTTCAATATATTTCACAGTATGCTTGTACCAATACCTATTCTATTATTCCTCAATTGTGATGTTTCAGTTTGTTTCTTCTTTGAAATTTAAAAGTCATTTAACAAACATTCTTACATTTTCATATTTTATTTCTATAAAATATGTTTCCCAAACCATTTCCAGGGTTTTCTGTTCCTTAGGAAGGCCTCGCTTATAGAAAATATTAGAGGACAAGAGAATAATGGAAAAGAATGTACAGTTTTCCATGTGTACTTATGTGGGTATGTATTGCACACATATAGATTTAACATTTCAGTACTTCTGGAATTAATTATTGGATGTGGTGTGATACAGGATGTCTGCTTTATTTACATCCAGGAATAAAGCCAATTCAGTACTATTTATTAAAAGTATTTCTCTTTCTCCTACTGAATAAAAAATATTTACCAAATATTAAGTGCTTATTCTCAGTTCTATTTCTGTGCTCTATATTCCAGCAATCTTTGAATTACAATTTTCAGTAATTTATTACTTGGAAATAAGTACATTTATATTATTAATTATACAATTTTATTTGTAAATACAAATATTTCTTCATTTGAATTTTAAAATTATTTTATCCAGTTTTAGTAAGAGACTCATTGGGATTATATTTTGAATGTTACTCATTTTAAATACAGAGTATCCCAAAATGAAATTTCTGAGATAACTCTTTATCCTTCTTTCTAATATTTTTATAATGTAATGATGTTTCATAATACTTTTTAAATATGCTAGTACTGAAATTTTAACATTTTTATTATGGTATTGATTACGAGGTGATAGATCCCTTTGATCTTCTAAAATTTGCAGATAAAGTCATATAACAATGTCATAGTATTTAAACCTATTTAACTTTCTTGCCTTCATATTGCAGACCTTATGACAGTGGGTATTGGGCAGGACTTTTTACCACTTCCCCCCATTTTTTCAGACTGAAGGGTCAGTTTTTAGGGATGATTTTAATTTTTATCCCTTCTCCTGTTTGTATGTCATAAGAGAAATTATGCATTGCCTTGGTGAAATTCATTAAAACATGTATATTGCCTTGTTTTATTTGACCCTAAATTTCTTGTGTTTCCTAGAGCAGTCTGTGATTATCTATGCATACTCTGCAGGTCCTGTCCTCCGCTTATATGTAGTTCAATATCTAGAGTTTAAATGAAGTGTGAGGATGTACATTTTAACTCCAGAGTCAAACTGCCTCTTTCCATAAGGCATTACCAAAAAAAAAAATGCTCTTTTTCTCCATTTGTGCAGAAATAAGGAGAGAGATGTGATTATCGCCCACAGAAATTCTTACTATAGCCAAGTTTGTTTTATTTCTAATTTTAATGGAAATGCATACAGGTTACAGTCAATGTGGTCTACTTTTGTTTATTTGACTAGATAAGAAATTCATTCAAAGAATACTGAGTTGCTGAAACAAAAATCTGAGTGCTAAGGTATAAAGATACAGAACTGGGAACAATAATGCAAGTGATGACATGGAACTTGTGTGATGAGGTTACCATAGCAGCTGCTGAACACAATCCCCAGCTTACACTACTGGCATCATAGATATTGGACTTGATGTTTCTGCTTCTGCTACTCAGGGTTACATAGGTGGAATCCGGCTCACCCAGATGGAACCCCCACAGTGTTTGTCCCTTTGTGTCATCACTTTGCTGTTCTGAGATGAGTGTGTTTGAGTGCCGATGCCTAGGTTCCATCCTTGTGCATCAGCTTCTGGAGAGACTGGGATGCATTTTTAGTTTAGTGAGACTCAACCTCTGCTTCTTAAAAATGGGTGTTTCTAAAAACTAGCATTTTGGTGAAAATCCCTGTAGTCATGGTCAAAATTTATAATCTCATTAGTTATCAGTATTCCACCTTGACATTAAACTACCAGAAAAAATTAAGGGGGAGAGATTACCATTAAAAGTCAAATTGCAGACTATTTTTACAAACTAGAACTTTTAACATTGTGCTCAAGTAAGTGGAAATTGAAAAGAATCCATGATAAGGAACACAAAAAACTTAATTTTATTGTTCCATATTGTCATGTAGTTAAATTTTCATTTGGGGGGACAGATACCAATGTAATTCAGGTTATTATAATCAGCTATATATGGTATCTACAATGATAAATTATATTCCCTTATAATCCATAATATTCTCATTCTGAATTTTTTTATTTTAAAAGAATTTA